GGGAGAGAGAGAGAGAGAGAGAGAGAGAGAGAGAGAGAGAGAGAGAGAGAGAGAGATAGTTCCCCCTTTCCTCGTACCTTTCGCAAACAAGCGTCGCGCGAGCGTTGTTTGCTCGTGCCTTGCTTGTGCAAACAATACGCATGATTGCAAACGATCTCGAGTCGGCGCGTCATTACGCTTACTAGTGCGCACGAGCGAAGCTCCCTCGAATCGTAGCAACGAGCGAAAATTTATCGAGCACGGAGAAAACACTAGAGATATCGCTTGGTTAAGTATATCGCGACAAAACATTATTTTACGCCCATGGCTATTTTACAAAAGGTCTATAGAACTATAGTATTCTGGGAATAATATTACCGGCCTTCCTCATGCTGTCTGTCCATACACAGAGAAAATAATACTTGAATATAGTTGTGGTATATAAAGTTTATTTCTGTGAAATTAACTTAATTGTTTCTGTTAAATAAACTTTTGTTCTACAAATAAATTTGCAAGTATTTTTCTCAGTGTTTGAGCAAAAGAAAAACTCTCAGTGCTGTATGGTGCAACCAAACTCTACTGCCATTTTTCAATTTCGAATGAGAATATTCACTTGGCGATTCAAATTTAGAAAGTTCAATCTATATAAGTGAAACGTCACTCGAATTCGACTTGGGTATCGCTTTACCTTTCGAGTAAAATTTCACTCCAAGAAATTTCAAGAGTAACATAAAAATTTTGGCTGTGAGAACTATAATAGATGGACATGTAACAACAAATTTTTATTCCTATATCGATTTAAATTGATCCTATATCGACATAAATTTTTTTCCTAATCATGTGATGCTGAGAATCATGACAATTTTGCCCATGAGCGATCCTCGTCGCGTATCTCGGAATTCGTCATTTCTCTCTGCTCCTCTCTCTCTCTCTCTCTCTCTCTCTCTCTCTCTTGCGGCAACGTCATCGCGGCGCGAGAGAGCGTTAGATAAGGAATCATGTCGATTGCTCCATAGCGAACCTCGACGATCCGGAGAGATGTTGCGACGGAACGGTAAAGTTCGCGCTACGTTGCAACGTAAAATCCAACGAAACGGCGCCGCGACAAAACAAAGTCGAGGTAGAGGGGTAGAGGTGAGAAACGTATAATTAATATACTCATATTTCGCATACGCACCGACACTCATCATTTATTACCGTATCGCAAAACGTCCGACGGAAACACGGCGCAAAGTATCGACGCGGCGATTCGAGTATCCCGCATACCGTGACACTCGCAAACGACTTTCGAAACTAACGACTCGAGTAACTAAAACCGAGAGCGTGATTAATACACTTATCTTCGCGCTTGACGCAATCTATTCACAACGCGTTGCAGCCGCGTTGCAAGAATGTTCCCGTCGGATCGTCGAGTCGCGGGAGATCAGATCGATCGGGGTTCCGTGAAATCTCGCGCGGCTTCCCGGTCTCGTGTTGATCACGAATTTTTCTTCCCCCTATTTTTCCTTGTTTTACAATTACGTCTCTATCGACATGCCGAGTAGCGCGCGCGTGCCTTTTCTCAAACGGCGGTTCAGCCACACGTGTGTGTACACGTATTAATAGATCCGTCGAGTCACTGCGGCCGGCACGGAGACATTTCGTCGTGGGTGTAACGACGCGCTCGCATTGCACACAAAGGGTACGATCGTGCAGACATCGGCTTCGTAATCGATTAAGGACAGACGCCCGCGGCGATCTCGACGGAGTCGCGCTAACGCGAAACGCTGAAACGCGCGACCGCTAGATTTTCCCATTAATCAAGCGCGAACGAAGCTCGTTAAGGCTCAGTCGATTCGTTTCAAGATTATGCGCTTAAAGTGTTGAATAATGTATCGGACGCCGGCGCTCGATAACAATACTCGTCGATAGACGATTCCGTTATAGTGTTTCCCTTTCAGTCGCGATTCACGCTCCTCCCCAGGCGTTCTTCTTCCGCCGCGACACATTCTCTCGCAAGCTACTACTATTACTATTACCAGCACGACAACGTAATATGCAACAATTGTGCGGTTTCAAGTGTAAACACGAGCACGTGTGGTCAAGAAAAGGTTAAGTATACGTAATCCGCGTTAGACACGCGCAGTCGTGCCGCTTGACGCGGCGGAAATTTATGCTAAGCTCGTGGAAATTGCGGAAGCGCACCAGTCTACGATGTATCGATGCTAATGACGATAACGCACGAATTTATTTCAGCTCTCTCTCTCTCTCTCTCTCTCTCTCTCTCTTCCTTTCTCTCTTGAAAACGACGACAAGACGCGTGTTTTGTCTTTTGCCATTGATTGTGAGTGGCGCGCTAATGTCCCCCCGAAATTGATCTCTGAGATCCGAGTTTGCACAAGTCGAAATCAAATACGAAGCGCTGATATTTCGTGCGGCTCTTGAGATCGCTCTTGCTTGATTTGCGAATCTATTGTAAGATCTATCCAGAATTTTCGAATATTTTCGTCCACCTCCTACACATCTCGAGCCATTTATTTTCGCAGTGAATCGGACTTCGCACGCGCCTATCTGTGCAGAAATTTACTTAAATCGATGAACTTGTCAAATCACATCGATCTAACGACTACCTCTCGATAGTTTGCATTTAGATTTTTTAAGTATTTTCGAAAGCACGTGACGTAACGACCGTCCTGCTTTTTTCCAGCAAATCGTCGCGGCAGAGATACCGGGAGCCGGTACTACATCTAAACATGGCGTTGACACGATTGCCTTCGATACCGTTGGCTTTGGCTTTGGCCCTGGCCTTCCTTTCGACGGCACGCCGCTGCGTCGACGCCTCGGAAAGTATAATAGGTGAGTACGCGCGTAGCACGCGCGAGTGAACGCCGAACGATTGTGGGGGGTATGTTATTTTGATAGCTGACTAACGATTGGGCTCAGGAGGGTGCCAACATCGAAACGCTCCGATCGATTCCGTTTGTACTGTACCGTAGTCGACGAGCGAGATGCCGTCGCGTTACTTCTCGAGAACAGTTCTCGGGTAATGAGTTTTACGAATTAATCAATCGAAGCATAACGTATAAATATGCGAGAAAAAATCCCGTAAAATCGTAAATTTCGCTAAAAACAATGCCGCGGATCGGTACGCGGAGCAGGAACCAGAAGTCACTATGTATTTGCGCGCTCGTCCGCGTTTCAGATAGACACCTGATAGATGCGCTGACGCTGACAGCGAGTTAGGTTTAATCGATATTGCATTCTTAACACGAAACTTTCCTCTTTCTTCCTTTCTACCGACGTTTGTCCCGCGTTTCAAGTCGAGATACGAAATCGAGAAGTGTAAGTTCCTACCTCGCGAAAATAGGAAGTGAAAAGATATTTTTGTGCAAACGATTCGACAGACGTGACGTCGTTGCACGTCACACGGTCAGAAAGTTAGAGTCACCGCGTTGGCTCGTTGGTTTCGTAATAGTTGTCTCGAGTGATACTTTCGCGTCACTTACGAGTGAAAACGTTCCCGCCTTTCGATCTCGCACGGACGCGCGCGCGGACCCGGCGAAACGCGAAACGAGAGCGGCGCGCGCGAATATTGCCGCCGCGTGATCAAATTCCCGATTCCAGTTTGCTTTGCTATCACGGTGCGCTCGCCCGTCACGCTCCATTTACGCCTTTTAAACGCTCTATTCTTAGTCTATCTCCATTATCTACCGTTCTATTTGCGCCGAGTCGAGTTGAATCTCGCGGTTCGCACGAGTCATCGCGAGAGAGAGAGAGAGAGAGAGAGAGAGAGAGAGAGAGAGAGAGAGAGAGCGAGCGGCTCGTCGCTCCGCGAAAGCGCTTTGTTTCGTGCATTATACCGGCGAATCGCCAGGAAAATTCGCACGCCGATCACTGACGAGTCGATGCGGTCTTTTTTACAAAATTTCACCAGTCGAGCGATGAAAATGCAATGTGACAACAGAGTTTGTAATCAAAGATCGGTCTTCAATCGCGAATTAAAGTAATGCGATTTTTTTTCAAATTCCCAAGTAAAAACATCCAAGAAGAACTGGTTACTAATCAAGAATTGACCAGTTTTTACTGATTAGGATTTATTAGACAGTACATATATTTACAAAGTGAATGAGAGAATATTGATCAATATTTCTTGATCAGTTAAATCAGTTAACTGGCTAGAGATTAAATAAAGAAAAATGGAAATTAAAAATAAAGCTACAATCACATGAAAAAAATATAGCAAAAATTACAACATTTTTATAATTTTGGATCGTATAGAATTATGATCGAAATTATTATACATTTGTTTAAAAATTTGACAGAATTTTGTACAAAAAAATGTAGAAACTGATAAAAAAACGGATTAGAAACTGACCGAAAACTAACTAGCCTTACTGTCCAGTTACTGGCAAAGCAAGCGTCGCCTGAACTGACCAGAGACTAGCCAACAACCAAAATTCTTGGCCAGTTACTGATTACGAAGAGATCTACTTGGGTTATTGCACTTGAATCAAAGCGAATCACTCTGGAATAAATTTTGCAATTGTACCGGTCAGTTATATCGCATCACGGCCGTGTGTGATCGTCTCGACTCGTCGACGTCTCCATCGGCGACTTAATCTCGCGATTTACCGTCGACGAGCGCGCGCGCAGCGTGGGAAGCACCGGTCACGCGACAAAGTCGATTTCACGGTGTCGAGCCGGTATTAAAGCGCGATTTACGCCGGTAAGCTCGTCCCCGAGGCTTCCTCCCCTCTGAGTGTTTGCGCGCGTGGACGAGCGCGTAATCTTGGCCGGGAATTGCATCGGGCGTAACCATATCCCGCGGAACAACAAGCGTGGTAAGTTCGACTGCAACGTCCACTTACACTGAGCGCAACGAGTGCATAAATCCATCTTTCCCCCTCTGCTACCCCGCGTCCCCTGATCGCGTCTTTTTTCGGTATTACGCGCCGCAACGTCGACGTTCCGCGACGGCTAACTGCATCTCGGAAATTATCCGTCGACGAGGAGGCGCGCCGATCCTTCTTTCCTCTTCTCTTCCTTCCTTCCTTTCTTTCTTTAGCCTCCTCGACGTAATCGAGGAAAGAGCGACGCGACGCGACGCGCACGGCGAGCCACTCGTGCCTTTCAGGAAATTGCATTCCCCGTTGGTGCACTCGAGGTTAATCAGCTACTCTCGCAGCCGCTTCGCGCAAGTCGCAAGAGCGAAGTGCGCATAACCGAACGCTTCCGATCCGCTGCAATGCGCCGCGACGCGACGCGCCGCACTACAGCGGAGTCTAATGAAATTTCATATTTTAAAAGCGGCTACAGTCTCGAAATTTGAACCGATTTTGATGTTTTTTTTTTTTTTTTTTTTTTTT